TCATTCCTGTCGTCGGTCCTCGGCATGAGACATCTTTATAGGCTTTTAACGACGAGTGGTGCTTTTTTTCTTTATAAAAGAATGACTTTTTCTGCAGGTGGTGCAATAGGGACATATTCATCTTAAATTTCCAAAATAAATAAATATATCACATTTTTTCGATAAATTGAATTTCATCATTCAAAGAAACAGAAAGCGGATCTTACGAACTGTTTTGTACAAATGTCCAGGCAGTATTCTACGGCAGCATAAGCGTAGCACGTCTTACCATATGTCCATAATGATACAGTTAATGACGAATTCATAAATTTTCTTGAAGGTGAATACACCTGTATAACTAACGTAAAATTATAGAGTAGACACAATTAATAAAATAAATAACTAATTGAAAAAAATTTAATTTAAAGATGAGCATGTGCCCACCTTATACTAAAGTTGAATCCACAATTCTATTTCTATCAGGTGTTTAGGTTGTAAATACAAAAATTATCAAAATCAATATAAAATTACAGTGTAATGTCAAATACAATTACGAAAAAGTTGGTTGTTATGGTAAGAGTCATCTTAGCATATTATGAAATCCTCTTTTTCTTCATTTATTTCGATTTTCCTTTTGTTTTTGAATCTTCTTTTTCTTTTTCCTATATCTGTAAATTCTTTTACACATATTTTGTTTTGTATCAGTAATATCAAAGTCAGTTATCTTTAGGTGTGTCGATAATATAACTACGTACGAGCCAAACGACTTAAATGATCAAAAAAATAATTGTTATCTTAAATGTTTTGCTTTCGAACAAATTCATAGATATTTAAATTTTTATTATCAAATGACAATAACTGATTATTTCAATATCATGGACGTCGTGTGTATATTGACACAGTAATGGTTCAGAAAATGAAAAGCAATGTTAATATTTAAAGGGTTCCCCAAAAAAGATTCCTCAAATATCACGTGGTAAAAAGAGATTAGATAATTTAAAATAAATAGGATGATAAGATCAATTTAGATAAGTAAATATGTATTTTTTTTATCAGCGGGAGACTAAGGTGGCGTTTGATTGACATGAATCCCTTGGAATTAGAGGGAATTGGAATCCAATTCTACCACTTTCACATGTTTGGTTCAAGTTTTCCAAGGGAATTAGAATCTATCATGGCTTCAACTTTCCATCAAATGAGGGAAAGTGAATTCCATCCAAGAATGGATGGAATTCAATTCCCGGAATTGAAATTTGACCATACTACCCTCATCAATCTTTTGGTAACTTATTTCTATATTGAATAAAAATATTTTTTTATTATTTCGGGTCGGGTTTCTAATTTATATATTCGGGTTGGGTCGGGTGAAACTTTATTTTGGTCGGGTCGGGTCGCTTTTAAAAGTGTGATATTCGGGTCGGGTCGAGTTCGGGTTTAGGGTGAAAAATACTCGACCCAAAAATATATATAATTTTACCTTATATATTTAGGAATAATTATAATAATACACCTCTATATATACTTTTTTTCAATTAAGTCATTATTTTTATTGAATAAAAATAATTTTTTATTATTTCGGGTCTGGTCGGGTCGGATTTCTAATTCATATATTCAGGTCGGGTCGGGTCGTTTTTTTAAGTGTGATATTAGGGTCGGGTCGGTTGGGGTTTAGGGTGAAAAATACTTGACCCGACCTGACCCAAAAAATATATAATTTACTTTATATATTTAGGAATAATTACAATAATACCCCTCTATATATATATATTTCCAATTAAGTTTTTGTTTTTATTGAATAAAAATAATTTTTTTATTATTTCGGGTCGGGTTTCTAATTCATATATTCGGGTCGGGTCGGGTCTCGGATGGAGGTTCCTTTGTTCTCGGGTCGGGTCGGGTGGACCAAAAACCCGACCCAACCCGACCCATGGCTATTCTTAATTGGGATGATTTTAACTTATGATGTTTATTAGTATAATTTTTATAATTTATTGAAATGAATAATCAATAGATAAAATTAAAAATTGTTTTTTTTTAAATTTTTATAATATATTACTACATGTAATTTATAAAACAAACTAAAATTAAGCAAAAAAAAAACAAGAAGGGCAATCTTGTCATTTTACATTATTGAAATCAAATTCATCTGACATGTCTGCGAACCAAACAAAATATGTAATTGGATTCTAATTCAATTTTCTGCCAACCAAACAGAATATGGAATTGGATTTCAATTCCTGACAGATTTCAATTTCTTTACAGATTCCAATTCCATCAGAAACATTCCAGCGAACCAAACGCCACCTAAAACTACTTCATAGATAAATAGTTAAATATATAGAAAATTTAAGAGGGATTTGTTTTTAGAAAAATATCGTTTAAAAATATTTCTCACGTTAAATATGTTTTTATTTAATCTAAATATACTGTAAATTAATCCAAAAAATATATAAATTTCAAAAAGATTTGTCGTTATATCTAATTTGTACATCATGGAAAAGATGTCCAAATAGGGCCCATACACTCTGGGCCACGATAGCAACTCTTTTTGTATTCAGGTTGTCCAATTCGGAGTCCAAACGTAAAACAAACGTCACAGAATCCCAATTTAAGGCCATTTTCATCAATCATTTGGATACAAATAGGATAGGCATGAGCCGGGTTAGAGAATCCCAATTTAAGGTCATTTTCATCGATCAGTTGGATATAGATAGGGATGGGCATGGGTCGGGTCAAAAATTTTTACACCCTTCATCCGATCCTGACCCAACCTTTTAAGATAAAATCCGAATCCGATTCGACCTGACCTGAAATAATAAAAAATATTATTTTTATTTAATAAAAAAAATTATTTAATTGAAAAAAATAATATATAGATGAATATTATTGTAATTTTTCTTAAATATATAAGGTAAAATTATATTTTTTCCAGGGTCAGGTCGGATATTTTTCATACTAAACTCGAATCTGACCTGATCCGAACATCATCTTTAAAAAATCAATCCAACCTGACCCGGGCTTAAAAATTTTTAAAATCAAAACTCATCGAGTTCGAGTTTATACCCGTCCCTAGATACAAATATTAAAAATATTTGTTATGAGTTTAAAAGGTAAAAATATTTGTTATGAGTTTAAAAGGCACAGTAAGTCATGAGCCTTCAAGACAAATAATTGTTGTGTCAGCTTTTGAGAATTACTAAAGGATATGTTAATCTGTCAACTTGGGAAGTTTTAAAATACGACGTTGACTAAAAAAGATGTTATCAATATTGGAAAATAATTATTAATTATACTGTTTTTCTATTTTATCAAAATATTATATCAATCATGTTTTGTATCCACATCAACGGATAGTGGATGGAATATATATACCCACGTATTATATAATATTATGATTGTTATCCAAAGAAGAATATTACCCCGATATTCAAGCCCACCATAAATCATGTACGTGTCAATCATATTTTACTCTTGGATTCTTTTCAAAGGAAAATACTAGAATATTTGTCCCACTGAAATTCACCATTGATTTTATGTGATAAAAATTTTCAATGGTCACTAAATTATATTAAAAGAATCTATTTAAATATTAAACTTTTAAAAGCTATATGATATATATTAAATTTTAAATTTTATTATAAAATAGATATTGCATCTTTAACTATCATCAAAGGTATAACTTGACATGTTAAATTGATATAAAAAAAATATCTTATGCGATCCCTCGATTATACTTAACATTTTATTTTTATATATTTTTAATATTTCTAAGTGATAATTCTAAAATATCAAATTTTAATATATATACATATATATATATATATATATATATATTCATTTTTTACTTTAAAATCATAAAAGTAGTTTTTAAAATTCATCAAATTATTTCATAATTAATTTTTATTTAATTGGGATTATATTTGTAAAATTTATAATTTATATTTTTTAGATCCAACAAATTTAATTATCAAAAAATTAAATTAATTACTTATTAAATAATGTCGTGCAATTAATTATTTTTTTATAATTTCATCTATAATGTTAAAAATATATTTATAATTTTAAAAATAAATTGTGAAATTTCATATATTAAAAATGATTTTTTTAATTATTACTTAACGATATTGAAGATTATCAAAAATAAAATTTTAGTCGCAACTAAAAAAATAAATGAGATCTTTTTTTTATTAATCTAGTAAGTAACATTATCTTTTAGTGGCACTTAAGAGTCAATTATTTTTTTAACAAAATTTAAAGTTTATGGCTCATTTTATAACTTTTTGAAAATTAAATGATAAAAAATTATTTTACTATAGTTTAATGATTATTTGTAACTTTTACTTTTTTTTATGATGCACATCAATATGTGACGTTTATCGTAGACTATATGTTTTTAAATTATTGTACTACTTTTTTTAAACCAATACCGATGCAAGTCCAAACGGGGAATCCCAAGGACAAAAAACAAAATGGGAACACATACAACATTTTACAAAGGGGAATGATGATCTGATCTGAAGTTACTTGACATAAAAAAAATCATCCAAATAATTTCAAACCAGAGCAATCATTTACGCCCTATATTTATACTGTCCCTACTAATGGCTGCTTTCATTCCTATTTAAAAGATGCTTCAATTAAAAGTAGAAACAAATAGAACGAGAAAGAAAGCAGTTTTCTTTTTCCTTTTATGAGCATTAACTAAGTTCACGACTAATACATGGTCATTAAACCATGATATCTTGTGCCCTATAGTTAAGGGAATGCAAGACGGAATGCAGGTTCATAATGTGAACGTGTTCAGACATTAATATATGTATAGAATACGAAATTAGGTTCTTTTTTGTAATTAACAGGCAGTATGAATTCTAGCATTCGATTTTCCTTTCATCCTATCAGCAATGATGACTAGTTATGAACAGCCATTCAAAAGGAGACACGTAATATAAAATAGAAGGGCCTTGATTAAAAGATTATTACATCACCCAACAACCGTATCCAGCTAAAAACTAGTGAAGTCTTGGAAGTAATCTCAGCAGTTAAAGCTGCATTATAACCTTACGGTCGTTTGGACTATGAATGTCTTCCTTAAATACCCGATCTTCCTTTGTTTCTGCTCTTTTTCAGTCCCAAGCTGACAGATTTATGTCTGTTTTCCCCCTTCTTTTTTGTTTCCCTTTTTTCCTGGTCAACAGACTAAAACAATTGAGCTTTATTTTCAACTCTCCTAACCCTTCAGCCTAACACTTGCTCAAATGGCCACTAGGAGCAGAGCATCGAAGCCACGGAGGCAACTTGGAGAACTCCTCCAAGAACAGCAAGAACCTTTTGTCTTAGAGGTTTACCTTTCAGAAAGAGGGTGTGTGAAAAAGAAGTTAATTTCAGGTGTTAACTTCAACTTCAGCTGCTGCCATGGCAATTCGGCCAAGTTTTTAAACAAGTCTGGTAGTCAAAACGACAGAAAGAAGGGTTCTCCACAATTTCCCAAGGTGCTTCAAGTTATACTACGTAACAAGTTCTTTAAAATTAAAGGCTTGAGAACCAAGAATTCCGATGATGAAGATGGAAAGCTTAGTGTCGCTGAGATCCATATAAATACTCAAGAAACTGCAGAGGCAGATAGATTTTCATCTGCTAGCAGCGCAACTGTGTATAATTCATGCTCGGATAGTGACATAGACGAACCACGGATGTTTACCGACACTTCCATATCGGACCACAAACTCGACGATGAAAGTGAAAAGATGGTAAACAAAATCTTAATTTGTTGTTCGTTCTCTTTACCTTTTCATGATGAAATATTCCGATTGCTATTCCAGCAAAAATATGTAAGTTTTTAGATTGTTACTCATAAAACTAACAGGCTGCTGCAGATTCAAAGTTGGAATGGAGTTGCATGGAAGAAAATAAACAGCATAGCCCTCAGTCAGTATTAGAAGAAGTATATACTTCAACAAGCTCCCCACTCGATACTCGTTAGTATCTTTAAAGTTGCTAAGCTTTCATAACTACTTCCCTTTAGACTAAAATTCAGTACTAATTCACCTGAAATTAACAAAACAGCAGGAAAGGTCTCCAGCACAAAGCTCTTCAAGGTGGACTCAATACTGTCACCTTGGCTCTTGAATTTACTTCAAACCAGGGCAGAGAAATCAAGCTGTGAGGGTTTAAAACAACACAAAATGCCTAGTTCTTCCAGGCCTTCAAGATCGAAAAGGGTTTCGCAACAAACAAAGCAGCTTCCCGTTGATTGCATTAAGGAGTTGGTAGAAAATAACCGTGGCAAAGAACAGAAAGGCAAAGGAAAAGGGTTCAAAGGGTCTGCTGAGGTGATTCGAAGGGTGAGGTGTGAGAATATGAAAGGATGGGGAAAACGACTCGGAGATGAATCCATTATTAAGCAATTGTTGGAATCAGATATAATGAATTCAACCCAATGGAGGAATGGTTTTGAATCCCGGAAATGGAATATCGGGATGGTAGTTGGGAGCTCTATTGTAGAGGAGATTATAAGTGAATTTGTAATGGACATTATGAATGTCTTATAGCTAAGATGTAGATTGCTTGCTTGTTTCAAAATTTAATTATGTGGTGTAGTTTTAATTCATATTTAACTTTTGGCTGTTGCTGTTGCTGTTGCTGTCTTGTTTAGATTTGTTCTTTTATAGAAATGTACCTAACAACTTGGAGCGAAGATTGAAGTTATCTAAAATTTTATCTGAAATTCATCCAAAAATGATAAAAGCACTGAAATTTAATGATTGATCCACATTCCACTGTCTCATGTATTATTAAAAAAATATATTATAAGATTGATCTATTTCTTTTAATATTTTATATTTGTATTCATCAAATTTTAAAAATATATATGTTTCAGTCACTTATATTATTGAGTTATTAAATTTTAATCACTTATATCAATGATTGTTATATTTTGGTATCTAAGTTGTTGACTCATCTAAGTTTGATAATGTGAGACGTTAATTAAAAGTAACTAATTTTAATTTGACATTTGAAATTCAAATTAAATATTAATTTGATCCTTAACTTTAAAAGAAATATTGTTTTAACTCATAAACTTTAGATAGATTATCACTTTGACCCTTAAATTCTTCTAAAGTCTCTCATCGCCAATCGCCCATCACAATTGTCACCGTCAATCATCACCGGCCATTGTCACTGCCGACTGTTAGATCCCAAAATTTTCAATTTACTCATTTTTAACCTTAGGAACGTAAATTTGATATTTGTTTCATTAAAAATGTCTCCAACTCAATATATCTAACTTAAAATCTTTTGACTTCTTTGAAATCAAACTATAATAATAGATTTATCATTAATATTTACTTCTTGAATGTAATTTATTTTGATTTATTTAACTTTTGATCTTTCGATAAGAAATTGTGTTCTCCTGATGAGTTATTTTTCCTCGCTAAAATCCGTTCTATGTTCGAGTTTAAAACAATATGGTTTATTCTCTGCTGAATCTTCTTGATGGGATTCTCCGAATGTTTGCTCTTCTGTTCGCAGGCCTAACTGAAAAGCTTCTTGTGTACCTTGGGACCCCCAGCAGCTGATTTTGTAAAATTCAATGTGGATGGTGCTGCCTCGGATTAGCTCGTTGTGGGGGTGTCCTTAGGGACGAAAAAGGTGCTCTGATCGCATTGTTCTAAGGCCCACTTGATTCCAATCCTCTCTTCCCATCGTAGCTGAACTCGCTGGAGATTTTTATTCAACCAAAGAAGAATTCTAAAGATCTCGTAATTGAATCGGATTCTTGTACTGCAGTTTCCTGGTGCAAAAACGCTGCTGAAAGGCCTTGGAAATTGTGGTCTCTGTTTGTTGAGATTGATCATTCGGCTAATAAGATCGGGAATGTCTCTTGGCAGCATGTTAATCATTTTAGAAATGTTCGCGTCCTGGTAATGATTAGCGTATTGCATTGCTGCTGATTCTTAATTCTTCATTCTTCGCTGCATTTATACCATGCCTTCGTTTGTTGCTTTGATTTATTATTATTATCATTTTTTTTGTGCTCTTCTGCTGATTTTCCTGGGGATATTTTGCTTATATCCTGTATCTTAACCAACCACTTGTTACTGTGGCAGTTTCTTTTTTAATAAAACAAGTTTGTTAAGTAAAAAAAGTTCTTAAATAAGTGACATAATCTTTAATAATAGGTATATTCTTGATCGATAATTGAATTAAATTATATAAAATTAAATTAAGTGATTTTTTTTAAATTTTTAACTATCAATTAAACCATTTTTTAGAAAAAAAAAATATATTAATTAAACTGACCAATTTTTCACTAATTTAATTATTTTTTGAATTAATCGAAATTTATTGTATGTCATGATCTATGGTTATCTTTTCATTTGGGTCTAGATTTTTTTATAAGTTATTATCCATAGCTATTTTTGTATTTAGGTTTTGGATACATTAACGAGTCTTATTATTTTAATGGGTCTGAGTTTGAAATTATATATCAAATATATTTCATATTTTAAGATAATTATGTCAATCAATTTCGAATCAAATTAATTGATAATTGAATTTTAAAAAAAAATATTTAATTATTCACTGATCGAATAAATGTTGATAATGGATCATTTAGTCGAACTGATTTAATTTAATCAATTAATTTAATTTTAACTAACAATGAATATCCTTATTTATATTTGCGTTTATCTCCAAAATTATAACACACCTTGCATATATTTCTTATCCATGGTGATGGCCCATCGCATCATAAGTAAGCCCACTAAATGATGGATTTGAGTTTTTTTATAAGGAGAAAGAAGGGATTGTTTTCCTTTTCGAAAGTAAAACATATGCATTATCAAAAGCAAGCATCGTCCAATACAATGGTAATTAACTATTCACAATAGTAATTAGTAAAATAAAGAGAAGCACTAAGAGTGGTTGACCTTGTGGCCAAAGCATGAGCGGCATGATTAATTGAACAACGTATAGTCTGGACGATGATATAAGGATAGACGACCAACAATTGATAAACATCTGAAAGATGAAACCCTACAACAAAGAGGTTCTCCGAGAAAGAGGAGAAGTTGATAAAACCATACGAAATTGGTTTAACTTTTCATATATTATTTTTATATGATAAATCATATTTATTTATCTTTTGTTAAATATTTTTTTTAATTGTCTGATAAACATCCTTTTTCTTTTTTTTATTCTTGTTACACCCATTCAAGGATTAGATAAATAGTTAAAGATAAAAAGAGTGTAATTTAAATTAGGATTATGATAAGGATAAGGATAAGAATTAACTGACTTAAATTTAAGTTGGGATTATGATAAGGATTGTTAACTAACAAATTTTGATTCTTTTATGATTATAAGTTTTTAAAAACTACGAATTAAAAAGCTTTTTTTAAGCTATTTAACTAGGTTTTAACTCTCCAATAAATAAATAGTTTCATTGCTTTTAATGTTGTTATACCTTATTTTTCTTTGCATTGTGGAAAAATGGCTTTTTTTCCTAGTCTTATTTTCTTCAACAAGTAATCTTTTGATGTTATTATTATTATTTTTTTTACATTGGCAAGGTTTGTATTACATTACTAGTATTTGTATAGACAGTGTCCTGCATAAATGAATTTGTAGATGTTATCTTATTCTTCTATGGATATTGACGTGACCCGTGTTCTTCTCTTATTATTAATATCGATATATAGTTTATTTTTAGAAGGAAATCAGTGGGATGACTTTTTGTTCAATTACATCTAGTTTATATAGAAACACGGGAATTAGATGGCAAGTTATGATAGGATCATGATAATTAGATGTCAAATTCATAACGAGCACCCAATGTTTGATTGTAAATTTAGCAAGGATTTCTAAAGGCATATAGGAGTTGGTTGTATGATAAGCGCAAAGCCTTTTATTGTATATGCTTTTGTGATAGTAACCAGCTCCTTAAAAGCCAAATTTCGTGGTGTTTAAAGCCCCGATCAGAATACAAATTTTGGCGAGGGTTACGCACACAACTACATTTATAATTCCTTGGCCATGTTAGATGATCCTTGGTTAATGCTAGCAATCAATTACTTGATAAGAATAAGGTTGTCAATGTTCTTTACAGGCTTCTCAACTGCTTTCTGCTACAGCAGCTGATGTTGAACCCAGGGATGGACGACCGCCCCCCTACAAAATTTAAATTCTTATGTAATTTAAATATTTTCTTTGTATTTTTAGTTGAAGATCTGTTTTTGTCCCTCCTAAAATTTTATAAGTTCATCTCTCCTTTAAAATTTAATAAGTTCGCCCCTTCTAATATAAAATCTTGCGTCCGTCCCTGGTTCAGCCTGTAAATCAGTAAACCAGACTTCTGATGATCAGAACTGCTGACCAAACTTAAGAGTTGCCACATCAATTTTATGTTAGTATTCTGCTAAAGGTAGCATTTTAATGTTTGTATTTAAATGTTCTTCCCCGAACATAGCTGTATTCTAGTTAGACAAATGAAATAATTGCTTGAGCATTTAAGGTTTAGTTCCGTAGATAGGTGAACCAGACCTGATTATTTTCCCTCTTTATTACATATGTTAGACAGGTGTGAGCGGATATATGCCCAACTTGTGTATTTGATCTTTCTACATATTTTTGGAGGATGGGACAAGAATCTTTTAAGACATAGTGTTCGGTCATATGTTATCAAGTATAAATTAATTTCCTACCAAACCTGGTGCTTAGGTTGGTAAGGAATGGTAATGCGTCTTTTCAGGTTTTACTGCGAATGGTTTAGTTTAATGTTAGAATCTATATGGTTGTTTTGCATGAATGTTTCCTATTCCACTGTGGGACTATTGATTGAGCAGTTAAGCTTCATCTCAGTAAACGGGTGAACCACAATTGGTGATTTTGTTTTCCTTATTATAGATCGCTGTAACTTGCAATAAAATAAATCGATTTCGCACCAGAAAATAAAACAAACATTTATATACCCTTCATGTTTCATCTATTTAAGTTGTAACTTTAATGTCTGTATATGTATTCTCGTTTTCCACGAGTATTTACTTTTATGGTCTGAAACAAAGGAGATCTTTAATGATGAGACGATGGAGTGTAATTGGTTAGGTTATTGGAGTAAATGGGTGTGGGAAAGTATTTATTCTCTGTTGATGAGCTCTTATGCATGAAGAAATCTGTAAATCTTGTGAAAGAGTATCTAATGCTTAAAACAATTACATGCAGAGGTCATTTTGATTCTGGCAGTTGCAGTCTATATTATCTTTAAAATCAGTACTTGAGTATTACTCGTGCTTAAATATGGTTATAAAGGTATGATACTCTTGATATATGAAATATTACTCATATAACATATGTTTCATATCCGCATTCAACCGGAGTGGGAAATACATAGATTGCAGTAAGAGCTAACCAGATACCAATAATTATTCTTTGTGCCTGTGGAGCACAGTGGCATAGATGGATTGTTAGTTGCCAACATGCAAGTGATAATGGTAAGTCACATCCAGGCTTTGCTTGAAAGTTGGTTGGAAAGGTACATTTTACTGTTGTTGATTAATAAAAAAATATATACAGTTGTTGAT